CAATGGTCACTGGAGTAACCAAACTACTCTGCACAAACGAGAGTGCGCCTGACCGATCTGTCCATACTATTGCCATATTGGAGACACCAGTACTCTATTCCAGCAGTTGTTTCATCAGGGGCTCTTCTGGAACCGCTGTGGGAGGTAAAGGGTTAAAGTACACGAGTTGTACATGATGCTGATCTATTTTTTAGAAAAGCATCCATTTTAGCCTTTGAGAAACTAGCTGTGAATATCAATGACTATCGTCTAAAAAAGCAAGTTTTTCCTTGGTCGAGTTCCAAAGACTTCTTTTTCTTCTGTCGAAAACTTGGTTTTTTAGACGATAGTCATTGATGTTTCAAAACTGAAGAAAATGGAGAAAAAGCAGGAATTTCCACGCAAAACCAGTTTTCCGCTTATTTCTCGAAAAGTAGACTTTGTAGCAAAAAGCAAACTTCAGATTCGGACTCCACGCAAAATAACGAATCAGAATATCTATACCGTTTCTTCCCAAACCACCCCGCTGGAAAATAGCCCGATTTGCTATGTGATGCAGAAAAGACACTCGACTATGCCGATTCAGAAAATAGCAATCAAAGTCACCAGTACAGTAATCGCACGTCGACACAAGAACGTGTTTCTTACGAGGTTTCGCTACTAGCCTAGGGTTCCGGGCTTCCATGACTCACTCTCACTATCCACCGTCCCCTCCGCCCGTAGTACGAAAGAAGTATTTGATCGAAGCTTTCACGATAAGCGAACAAGTAGTGCTTGTCTCTCGTCGAATAGTGTATTTGTGAGATCCCGGAATCCAACAGAACGTGTCTAACTAATAGAATACGTCCTGGAGGTCGCTCAAAGTCCTTTTCGGATTCCACATAGTCGATAACCTATTCTCTTTCAGTTTCATCCGATCAAGTCAAAAGTATGTGTCTGATCAATAGAATGCGTCCTAGAGGTCTCCCACACTGTTAATCCGCTTTATTTTCTAATTTATAAAAAATCGATTTTGAAAATTATAATCGATTTTAGCACGTTTATGAAATCTTAGACGATTTTATGACAAATTAGACAACGTTTATTTTCTATTTTTTCAAAAATAAATTTGATTTTCAAGAAAATGAATTTTCGAAGAAGTTGAAAATGCTCGGTGTTTTTTGATTTTCTAGAAGACATTTCTTGATTTTGTAAAAGTTAGAAAATCAAATTGATTTTACGTAAAATCAACTTGATTTTCTAACTTTTGGAATATCACTGACAGTTCTTCCACTATACCTGACCAAGAAAACTCTATTAAGGTTCACACTCGACTGAAATCATAATATTTAGTCTGTCTAGTTTAATAGAGAGACACTGGAGGAAGAAAAGATATACATAAGAACAAAAATATGTTCGACAAAAAAGAATTATAGTGTTCTATATTGCGTACAATAGTGTGCTAAAAAGTAGCAACATTTTCCATATTAAAAAGTTCACATATCCAAGAAAAACCTGTCCATTACTATTAGAAATCGCAGTAAGTCGCTTGAATATTGAAGCTGAACATTGTCGCAAACTATTGATATAGATAATTTCTAAACCCATGCTTTGGAACTACTCTACTGTTTCTTTTCGTCTGTGGTAACACATTTTGTGGCGATTTACCTAGGTACAAAAAGGAAGAGGGGGATAGAGCGTATTTTCAGGATGACAGAACTCAAAATGCGCTTTGAAAGAGAAAAGAAATGTGTACTGTATTCTAAACTGACTTATATGACACGCGAGAGCTGATTTTAGATCCCTTTTTTTTCCGATAGAACTTTCACTTCGTTTCTTTAGAAAGCATGTCTGTTCTTCAAAAACACACGTTTTGTTCTCGTAGAGTCGAGAAAATCAATATTTGTCTTTATTTACATCTAAAATTCAAGCCAAAACTCGAATGCCAACAGCTTGTTTTGTCGAAGAGAAACTGAGTTTGAAGACTGACTAGCCAAAAGTCATATTTGATCTTCAAACTTCTTGTATTAGAAAAAAAATGCCTTTTCTTTTGAGTTTTTCCTTGAATTTCAGATGTAAACAGACTAATGTTGATTTTCTCAGCTCAAAACGTCTAAATAAAACGCTCTATATTTCTATGCTAATTAAGAGAAAATTATTAATCCTTTGAGTACGGGCGACTCGAATTCGCGTTCTGAGATTTTGCGCTCTGAATAGCTTTCGTAAATATTTTTATTCTTCGTAAATAGCTGTCGTAGTATTGAGTATTCAATGACATGAAATGCATGGATGTTTATGTTTAGAATATTTGCCCACTGTTTTCCTAGTATTTGTTACATGATAACTTTCAAACTTCAGAATCTCCCTTCCTTCTTGGTGTTAGTAATATCATAAAAAAGACGAATAACTAATCATAACAAGTAATAGATACCATTGAACATTTGTTTCACCTCCTCGTGCTTCCAGAAATGTGATTAGATAATAGCAGATTGTGTTTTTTTCAAAAAATAATCCCGTATTCAAAGGCTTAAACTGTCAACATAAAGAAAAAATCTTCTGAAACTCTTTTCCATCTCTTAATAATCGTTATTGCGATCTCCCGATTGTGTTCGCGCTGATAGAATGCTGCAGCTAAGAGTATCTTTCTTTCCTTATGCTTTCAGCATTCTAGATTTTATTCATTGTCTGTTCTTCTTTCCCAGCTATTGGGGTAAACAAAACCAACAAGAGAGGAAGAGTACAAAATAAACAAGAAAACAGCACTTCGAGAATAAACTAGAAAATCGTTGTCGATTTTCTAGCTTCTTGAAAATAACTTCTGCTTTTGATTTTCAATTTGTCCACATACGAATTCAGCGGTGATTTTCAAGCTGAAAAATCGTCGTTGATTTTCTGTATAATCGATTCATGTTTTTTGGAAAATCAACGGCAATTTTACAGAAAATTAGTTTGATTTTTACAGAAAATCAATTTACATTTTATGAAAAACGTAAAATTCTTGAAAATGTGATTTTCAAGAAAGTAGAAAATCACCGATGAATTCGTATGTGGACAAATTGAAAATCGTTTTTTATTATATATAACTTATTTTCCACTTTACAGTGCATACTCATTTTCGGATTCCTCATAGTCGATTACCTATTCCATACACTTTTCATAAATTTATTCCGGGGGATGAGGATTCTAGGATCCTGTCCCTGCGTCGGTCTATTTACGGTTCCGGTTAACCGTTCGAACGGTTATTTGCGGTTACGGTTAACGGTTAATAACCGTAACCGTTGCATGCCTAGTTCTGAGCATCAGCTTCAAGCAATTTACTATTATTAGTCTTCTTTGTTTTTTTTGCCGCTTATTAATATGTTTTAATACAGAAATCTGAAGGCTGAAAACAGGAATAGAACCCTCAACACATTTAACCCCTAGTGATATTCCCGTTCCATTCTTGCTGAGATCTGACCGCGAACCCGATATTTTCCCGTAACGAAAAAATGCTGATCTTGACAAAATAAAATTGACCTTAAATCAAAAAATTTTCGCGTCAAGATTATCAAAAAAGTTACAGGGGAAAAATAGCAAGATTAGATACGATCGCGGTATGGAACCCGCGTTAAGTTTCAAATTTCTTGTCAAAATCGCGGCAAGATGAGGCTGTATTCTTGCCGCGAAATGAAGCGGGAATGCTACTAGGGACCTTACTATTTCCTTTTTCGGTGAAATGTTTCTAAGAATTCTTTACATATCATTATATCGTGCTTCCACTACAAAATATCATCCTTGAACGCTTTTTTCGTCAAAAAATATTTATAATAAAAGCAAATTTTCTGAACTACTATTTTCTTAGTTTAAATAAAACATTTAAACAAACTTCCATTCAATTTTCACTGGTTCCATGTCAGGAGTATGATCACCACCTAGAGCGTTGAGTGCGGATAATGTTAAACCAAGATCACCTAGAAAAGAGAATAGTGCGGATCTTCAGTCTCTGCTCATTAAAAAATAAAGCTATCACATTACCTTTGCTGCAGTCTCTTTCTGCAGAACATCTGTCTACAATTTTAACGGTGATTTGTGTTCCATTCGGTCCGGTCACTAATGCTTTTCTATTGCAAGAAGGATTTGTACTTGGAATACCATTCACGGTGAATGGATCATATTGGGCGTGATTCAATGAAGCAACATAACCATCCGCTGTATAATTGAAACCGCATGCTGTGTATACAAGTCCTGAATTTACCTTGTATAGTGTAGCAAAACCAGAATGTGAAACACGATCAAGTGAGGGTACATAAGTGGTTGACGATTTTCGATACCATTGACAATGAGCAGCAGTGTTCCCACAACTAAAGGAGATCAGTAGATAAAACTGATTCAACTTTCTTCGAGATTAAATCTTACAAGCCGTATCTTGAACAGCATAAGCCCGCTCCACATCCCGAACCACCACAATTTCCATAACTCTGCCAGCCTGAACCACCACAATGTTCAGCCGACGTGCCACAACTACAAACGGAGAGAAGCATGATAGTCTGTAATAACCAGACTTATAGTATATTACACTTACTATCCATAGCGTGTGATTTGTACGATTATTACGCGTCTTTCATCACCGGTTAATCCGCTAAAGGTAGTGATTTAAGGGATATGTCAGCTCATTTGGATAACGGATTTAAAACGTGGAATAAATGAACAATGCATTGAGCAACATGAACCAGCAGCACATCCAGTTGTAGCGCAATTTCCTCCTGAAGCACCTTGCCAAGTACCCGCACAATGTTCAGCACTTGTACCACAACTGTTAATGAAAAGCATAAATAAATGGAAGAGCGAACCAATAACACGAACTTTCTTGTAATCTACCACCTACTAAAATGTCAGAAATTTCCGTGAGATTCTCATTGACAATTGTAAAAAGATTAGAAGTTTACACATTTCTCGAATAAAAATTGGAATCGACTGGAATATCCCTCAATCCAGCCGACATTTGATTAGGGAAAGTTAAAAATATCACTCCATACAGTTATTTTCATAGATTACTAATCTAGGGCATATTTAGCAGTAAAACGTTCGAGTAGTTATCAAAGTCCTGAAACAAGTCTGAAAAGTCTTCTTGATCTACGACGAAGTTGACTCGAAAACTAGAATATATAGATCCCAAAGCTTTTCTACAGACATTCTTTTGTGTATATTAGTGAAGAGTGTGAGTGTCGAACTTGTATAAGCATAACTGATTTCACTGTTTGGTTAGTGACAAGTAACTTACGTTGAAGTCAGTATAATAATATGCTTTAACATTTCCGTTATCAGAATCTCTCGTCCTGTGGAATGAAACAAGTGTTCGAGTCCGCAGAGACAGGCGTTGAGCTGATAGTGGAAACTTCATAGATCTGCTTAGTATGAGATTATAGATATCACACAAAGATCTAATTATAATGATGTTAATCTTATACGTACTAGCCGTGTTGTGAACAGCACGCCCCAGCTCCACAGCCGGTTGCTCCACAGTTGCCTACTGCTCCCCCATATCCGCCTTGCCAACTCGAACCACAGTGGGCCACAGTATTTCCGCAGAATCCGTGTACTGAACAGCAATAGCCTGCCGGACAACCTCCTGCGCATGTTGCTTCTGCAACAATTAGAAAAGTTGGATAATACTACGTGGAAAAAGCAGTTGTGGAGGTCACTTACGTGCACTGCTTACAGCCAAAAGAATAATGGCCACTATTGCTATCATTATTTTCTTGGTCATTGGTTTTTACCGGATCGATTGTTAAAGCTAACTGTATGTAGATGATAAGTACTACAATGAAACTGATGATATTTTATCGATCACATCAGAAAATATAAAGATATTAATCTAAACTGATCCATCGAAAATAGAAGAGATTAACCTTTTCATTTATTTTCTAACATTTGTTTTTTGAAAAGAAAATATCTCGTTTTAATTCCAAAAAATGAAATAAACATTTCGACACAATATGAGTGACGTCAAGAACACAAAATAGTTTCACATTTTAATTAAATATACGATACACTACAGCTATAGAGAACATCTATAGCTAGGAGTTGACAGAGTACGATTTTAAAATTATGCTTTTGTTTTTTATGGAAATGCGGATTACTAGGAAACTGTCCTACCTAACTATTCTCCCGACACAAAAATTATGCCATTAGAAAGTAGCTATACAACCATGTGTTTTTCTCAAAATCGATATTTCTGACGAAAGTGGGGAAGGGAATTCCTGATCCAGGGGGGGGGGGCTTAACTTACGGCGTAGCCAAATGTCATGAAATTGCATTTCTTCGCGTTTGCGCTCTTCGTCTCGGCAAAGAAGCAACACTTGTCACTGCCATCAAAAACATTTTGAACTAGATTGTCAAACGGATCAAAAGTTATAGTCACAATAGAGATCATCACGGAATTTCAAAAAATGGAATTTTTTTTCTGGGTATTTCAGTAAAACGTAAATTACTCATCCTTAGATTCATTTTGAAACACTCGCTTGGTTACCAAATTAAAGCTCACAGTATGGGCTATTAGAATCACTACAGACTTCCTTGAACTAGTTTCCTAGCAGAGAAATCGAAAAAAAGTGAACGTCATGGAATTTCACCTTTTTTTGCTTTGCTCTGGAGATGGTTTAGTATATATCTTTTCTATCACAGGACTACTTATCAGGCTCACTCGCACACAGATAGATAGTTTGAGGTGCCTCTATCCGATGCAGCCAAACATAAAGTTTCAGAATCAGATAAAACTGGCAGAAAATTGCTCACAAAATAAGCGTCAAAACGTATTTTAGCAATCAAAAAAAAGATTTTGGCATCCAGACATGAAAATCGACGACGTATTTTGTAGAGAATTTGATTGTCTATCCGATGGCATAGTTATCAGAATTTTAAGAATAACAAAAATAAAAAAAAGCCAGATCTAGAAATTGAATTTAAAGTATCACTATGAAATATTCAATTTTAATTTGTTCTTCAGTTCAGATTCGTAATTAGCGCGAAAAACTGCGTCTAATGCTGTATTTCTAAGCTTTGTTCGAGCGAAAACAAGAATTTGAATCTCCGGATCCGAAGGATAATCGTTAGCTGGTCATGCTGATTATGAATGTTTTAAATAGGTGAAAGATTGCGTAAGATGCAAAAAATCTATAGTGAACTTTAATATTCGATTGGGTTTCAACAGCATAGGTTGTACTTCTCTTCAAATATAAGCGCGAATATTTTTACGCTCAGAATAACTTCGAATTTTTTTTCTTCTTGACCATAGTTGTTTAAGGAAGAATCTATGACTCTATATGATTGTATATCCGATGGCTATGTCTGTCATAAATAACAAATGTAAAGAAAATTTGTCACTCAAGCTCTTGCAACAGCTCGAGTGGATTCAAGAATCTAAGATCTTGAAACAACTTGGCTTACTCCATTCAAGATCTGGAAATTTCGTAACCCAGGATCTTGATTGAAGTAAGCCAAGATGCTTCAAGATCCTGACTTAGTGTTTTTTCCAAGGTCTTGTGACATTTCTTAACCCAAGATCTTGGGTACAAGACGTTTCACTAGGGAAGCTATCTTTATTGGCGGACAGAAGCGCAAGTGAATCATATTTTGTTAATATGATAGTTTCAGAGTATCACAGTGCCTTAGCATATGGGTAACTTTGAGCGCTTTATCTAATAAGGTAAGAAACTGTTTTAGATTTCAGTTCTTTGGAGTATATTACTGATTAATTTGGAGTAGGTTCTGTAGGAATATTAAGATATGAATTCTATTGATATTAACCTTTTATAATAGAATCAAAACTGAAAAAAGCTTGTAACATTTTCTCTTATGTTTTCAACGGTTATAATAATTCTTTCTAAACTTTCTTCAATTTTGTCCAAATAGCATCCTTCTGCTCCGATCTCGTCGCATCGCCACTATATATACGACAAGAGTCTGTTTTATATACAGTCCGCTATCGTGTTGTATTGAATGTCAACAGCAAAAAAAATTCAAAACTTTAAAAAAAGACTGTTAGTCAAACTTCTCTGACGACTTCCGTAATTTGCATGATGATTTCTTCTACGTATTTATATGTCAAAATATCAGCTAATACAAACAGATGTTTATAAAATTATTTTAGAACGCAGATTATGTAACTAAAAGTTGTGTACAACAGGCAGCAAACATTGTCCTAACATTCTGTATAAACATAGCAGCAATATTTTTCCGCAACCGAGTTAAACAATTTTAAAGAAAATGATATTTTTTTATTTTAGGATACAATGTATCATCATAATTTATCGCTGAATGTTATCCAAAGTCAATGATATATCTTTTTATCATACTCTCTTCCGATATATAAGAAAATATCTCTGTTTGTACAAAAATGAATGAAAGAAAAGAGGAAGAGATATAGCCTCGATTATTCTAGTCGATAATGAAAATAACAGTCCAAACTGCACGAGAGAAAAATGAATTCTACGAACGAAAAAACAGACAAATATCTTGTTTGTGTACAGTATGTGATAAGTTTGAAAACTAGTCAGATAAGGGAGAAACAAGTTAAATTATAGTCAACATTACTATCTTCTCTCATATATGCGCTATAGTTTCTATCAGAAAAGTTCAGCTGCGTTCTTGAAAGAGAAGTGAACGGTATCTAGCAGTTCTGAGTAGAGATGGGCATCGGGATCAAAAAAATTTTCTGGTCCCGGTAAAAGATTTGATTGCCGTTCCATCACCTTCACAGTTAAAATATCATTTGGCCGTGCATTTTGTAGAGAAATGTTTGCTCTTTCAGATTATATATTCTAAAATATACCACAGACCTTTGTTACGGGTTAATTTGACAAATACAATGACCGGGACCAGATTGGTCCCGGTCGGTCCCGGTCATATATTTGCTAAATTGATTGATAAAAGAGACTCGCGAAATATTTTAGAATATATAATCTGAAAGACAAACATTTCTCTACAAAATGCACGGCCAAATGATATTTTAACTGTGAAGGCGATGGAACGGCAATCAAATCTTTTACCGGGACCAGAAAATTTTTTTGGTCCCGATGCCCGTCTCTAGTTCTGAGTGAAATAATTTTCTGTATTTTGCACTAACATGCTGTGTTAAATATCTTTATTTACAGCTTCGGTTTCGTTTTAGATGAAGATCTTATAATTCCCTGAAGTCTTGTGTGAATCTCACGCTTCAATTCCTTTCTGTCAACGTAACTGAACCGGATTCTTCTAACGATAGTAAACCTTCTGCATCAAGTAATAGGATCGTCATCTGTTTATGAGAAGCTATATCTAAAAAAAACATTGAGTTCGATCTGTAGTCAAAAGAGACCGGAAACGTGATAAATGTTAATTGAAAGACTGCAATATAAAACTTTGCAGACTATGAAAACGTTCCTTCATTGGCAGTTAGCGAGAACTATGAAGCTTTTACTCAGTACAGAGCTTCTCTACGGCCTATAACTGGTGTATCAGAAGAAATGGGTCACTTAATACTTTACCAATACCTCTGTCAGTTTTCATTCCTACGACTTGAACTTTTTTTAAATAGATTTCGCATTCAATTCTTTACAAAAAATTATACTGGACATTTTTATACGTCATCTTATGTCGCAAGTTATACAGGACTGAAATTTAAAAACTATTTTTTAGGCTGACAGGAGCTTCGCGGTGTTTCATCTATATTCCTTTATTTATATCATTTATAAAAGTGTTCAATACAGTTTTTGTAAAAAAATTGAACGGAGAATCTTTTGAAAAGAAGTTTGAGTCGTAGGAATGAAAATTGACCGAGATATTGGAGAATTACCAAGTGATCCGTTCTATGAATATAAATGCCTGACTTGTAGAGTTTTCATCAAGATAATAATCGCCTATCGCCTGTTTTTTTCTATAACTGTGTGAAGTGCATCAATATATATGTCGCGATAATTTTCAGTCCGCTCATCAAAAAACGTTACTCATTGATTTTGATTGTTTTTTAGACTAACGACAAGGTGGATCATAACATTCTGATGTATCCAACTGTATCCTCATTTTTTAATACAGTTTAATATAGCCTTAATGAATCATCAACGGATAAGTATATCATGATATATTCAAAATGACGATACAGTTGACTATATCCGAAAATAAGTGCTAAAAATTTTTATATCTTAATTTTTTTCATCTCGGATCTATCCCGCTATATATTTTCTCAAAAAGTTTTTGACTGGAAAGTCTAGGCTTATCTAGCTGCTGTAGTTTATAGATTAGAAGAATGGAACTACCCAACTTTATGTGATTTCTATTATTTATTCAAAATTTCATTATGCATTCATCCTGACGAAGCTAAGAATGACTCATTTGAAGTTTTACAACCTGTAGTCGTACCATTCTGTGGAAACATGGCACCTTACGTAAGAATAGCTGAAGTTCTTACGTAAGGTGCCATGTTACTAGGATAAGGATGTTACTACTATTGCAGAATATAGATCTCTTAATAGTAAGTTCTGTACAAACGTGTGGTTGTTTTACGACTAATTATTAAAAATTGCAGTGAAGCTCAGACGATGCTATATTAGACAGACAGTTAGATATTAAAAAATTCAGAATATCTGGTTGATAGTTGTCTGCCATCAAACTTTAAAAAGCAACCAATAATATATTTTTATTTCAGACATAACGTAATGGCCATATTTAATAAGATTTCATCGTTATTGTTGATAGTCTTATGTTTTTTATGTATTGTTTTTACATTTTATGAAAATATAGGTCCAAAGAATACGATATTTAAAACATTAGTTTCTCCAACAATAATAAATACTAATGGAAAAGAAGCTTATGTTTTTTTTATTGCATCTGATGATGTTTTACCAGGGTTAATGGTCATGGAAAATAGTTTAAGACGAGTGAATGCCACACGAAAACGTATTGCATTCGTTGTTAGCAATGTGAAAACCGAAGCAATTCTTCCATTTATTGAAGCAATGAATATAGAAATTGTTAAAATTACTCCAAAACCAAGTGGCTTTTACAAAAATTATCAACCGGAGTATGAAAGATGGAAAGTAATAGCAAATCGTTTTGAAATGTTACATGTATTTGAGGGTTATAATAGAATTATAGCATTAGGTAAGCAGAAATAAGAAAATTTTATAAAATTAGAATATGAATGTATCTTTAAACAATATTATTTATAGATACGGATATGATTGTTCAAAAATCTGTTGAAGAATTATTTGATGAACATATATGGCCACAAGAGTTTTTAGCCGCTACGGACAATATTGGTTGTCTTCAAACAACGTAAGGATTTCATGTTTTGCAGAGAACAAAAATCAGTAAAATTATAAATCTTGAGCAACACCTTGGTTAAGTTTTTCCAAGATAAATTCTGTGACAGAAATTGTCGATAATATTGAATTGTAAGATGATCTCAAGATCCTATCAGATATTCAAAAATCTGCATCAAATCTAGAAGTAATCGAGTAGTAACTTGAGAAATTATGTAAGTTTTATTCAAGATGTTTTACCTGTTCAATAGTAAAGGAAATTTTTTATAGATTTGAGACAACACGATTGACTTGAGTTTTCGCATTTTAGATTCGGTTGAAAGCACATTGTCATTTTCTTCAGTATATTAAAAGAACATTTGTAATCAGCTGAATTTTCTTCCACGGTGAAACTTCTTGTAGCCAACATAAATCTCAGGTTTTTGAGTAGAAGAACTTCTTTTACATGTTGTTTTTATGTATGATAGTCACATGCAATGATATGCATCGAATAAATATGTTCAAGAAAGCGAAAAGATGCAAAATTATTCTACATATGAAAAAACGGTCGCACGTGAGGTATTAGTTACAACAAGTTTCACTATGGTGGTTAAGTTAAACTGTGTATTTAAGTATATGAGATAATAGCTAAACTCGTTTACAACTACCGCAGAAAATTTTTATTTCAACAAAAAGTCTTATTTGTATTATTGCATATTATTACCTCGGTAAAAGAATCCGCTAACGTCGATTTATTCTGGTAAAATTTCTTTTACCGTTATCTTCTTTCGATAAACGTTTTTACCCTTATATATTTTCGAAAAATTTGTAAAACATTTCAGACCGATGCTAGATACATTTTTGTAAACAGTTTCACATGTATTTCTTTTTTGCTGTCTTAAAAAATAGAAATGAAAAGATATCTACTAAAAAAAAAACTAAACGTTTTTAGAATGTACAATATTGAAAGAAATACGATCAAATCTATTATCAGCTATACTGTGGCTTTTCAGATCTGAATTCTCATCTTTTTCTTAAAAATCTCTCTTCTAGTAATCGCTGTAAATGCGGTTCGATTGAAACGCTTGATCATTTCTTCTTTGTCTGTCATCAGTATACACCTTGTCGAAATATACTGTTAAAGAAAGTCTCTGACTTAATGCCAAGTAACAAAAAAAACAACCTTAAATGTACTTCTCTTAAAATGTAAACTAGAGCGCGAGCAGTTCATATCGATTTATTCAATGGTTATTGAATTCATAAAAGCATCACGACGCTTTGACATGCAACACACACCTAGTACATTAATTCAAATGTATCTTTCTAGCACCCCCTCTCCACTGTCACTATGCACATGTTTAGTTTAAATTTTTCTTCTCTCTTTCTTATTCTTTTCTTTCTTGGATTTTCTTTTTTTTTTGTTTTTTTTTCTTCTCTTTTGTACACGTTTAAGATCATCCCAGTTTTCTCTGAAGCATGGTTGTCTACGAAACATTTAATTCAGACTACTAAGTACAATGTCCTTTGGCGATTCTAAGTTTTCTGATACCCTGATATACCTTTTCTTACTTTTGTTTTTTATCATAATAAATAGTTTAAACCAAAGATATCTACTATAGTCGATGACATCCAGGTTTTATCTGATAGATTTACCAGCTAATGCAGAGGTAGCGACCAGCATATTTTCAGTAAAACTCGATGAACTGAGTTTTCTCTGACGGTAATATTTTGATAAGACTTGCACCTCTCTCTTGTTATTTTTTTCAAAAAGTCTTTTTCCTGCCTCATTATTCTCCTGAATCCATGATGGCTACATGAATACTGTATTCGTCTGGTAAAGATAAGTCATCACCAAGTCGCCTGATTCTACGTGTTTTGACGTTAACGGCAGAGATTTGGTGATGACTTTTCTTCATCGATTCGTCATTGTCCAAAGTGGCCATTACTAGTATCTATTTCTAGGGTTACAACTAGAATCAGTTTTCATCGAAAAATTTTTGCTTCTTGATGTATTGAAGTTTTGACAGTAGCTTTCAAATATTATGCACACTTTAAAACAAGAATAGAAGCTCATGAAGCTTTTTCATTCAGCATCTACAAAAAATCAGCCAATAGCTGTTCAGTAGCTAGTAAATTCGTTAAGGAAGCGATTTGGAGTCTCAGAATCGAGGGACTACAAGATAATTTTATTTTTCTATGTCACTTGTTTTTGTTCTATTCTAAAATAACATCTGTTTGAATTAATTAAAGTTTGTCTTTGAGGAGCATAGACTGATGTTATTGTGAGTCATATATGAATATATCAAGGCTAGAGAGGAATAAGTGATTGAGATAATATGTCACAAATAAGTGTGATAAAACAAGATTTATCGGTGCCAATTTCGTAAAAAGATATTTACCGACCGTAAATTGCGGATTATCGCACGTCATTATCTGTTCTTTAGAAAGACTTGCAGCAGAGTTGTAATCCGGTCCGTTCCGGTGTAAAAGTTTAGACCGGCCGGTCTAAAAAGATTTTCAAACCGACCGGTGATTGGCCGATTTTGAAATTCTTAGAATGTTTCTCTTCCTCACTAAAAAAAAGGGAGTTTTTCTACTCTCTTGTCCGTGTAGAAAATCTCTGAAAACCGACCGGCTATCTGCCGTTTTCACCGGTCTAAAAATATTTTTTCAAAACCGGCTGTTCTTTTGCTGCTTTTTAGCCAGTTCATTGAAATTTTCTAAACCGGCAGGTCTTTTGCTGGTTTTCCACAAGTCTAAACCGATTTTTGGATTGGTTACAACTCTAACCTGTAGTCAGAATTCTTGATTCACCATCTTCATCTGAAGTTCTTGTCTGTTGCTGAGAAAAGAATATATTGCTACTTTCGTCCGTGGTATAAGTAAGATTAATTGACTATTATCGAAATTTAAATAGAAGGTGCTTCGGCAAAATGTTTACAACTTTTCAACGAAGAGAGCTAGAGACCTACGATCTTCAGATTCTGAAAGTAGACACTTTGGGACGTAAATCTATGGAAAAATCAGGGCGATCCATCAGGTTTACCATGGTGTCCCATTCGAGACAAAATCCGAAAGCTTACCGTTCCCAAACCACACTATGGCATTCAATCTCAAATAATAGCAGTCTCAGTAGCATTTCTCTTCAAAAGTACGCAAGGCCCAGGTCTTCATTTCCTTTGGATCCGGAGATACTGACGTTTTCCGAGACACACGTGTGGGAATCTCAGAAACATGTAGATCATAGGTAATCGACCGCTTTAATCATCGTGAAGATGTTCATTTAATTCGACCGTTTAACTCAACCACAACTCCAGAAAGCTGGTTTTTCGCCCATTACCGTATATTACACACATTTCTTGTACAAAAAGACTCATCAGGTAATGATTAGCGGAGGTCATAGAATGTTGATCGAGTCGAAAAAATTACATAAGGTTTTCAGTTTATGCATACGATCTTTTAGCGGATCTCTGGAAAACCTCCCGCGGAACAAAAGCTCAGATCAGATTTTTTTAACTGGATCTACATTCTACGATCTCTGCTAATCATTCTTTTTAAATTTCGATAATAAGTTTTACAGGAGAATAACATTAATTTTAAAATCTTTTGTTTGGTTCTAATATGTACATACATCTTTTAGACCAGGGATAATAAATGGTGGTTTGATGGTATTCACACGGCCAACAAAAGAAATGTACCACGAATTAATGTCTATATTAGACGAACGCGTTTACGTTTTGGGTGGAGATCAATGGTTGTTTCAATTACTTTTTTCTCGCCGTGCTATTGCTAAAAAAAAAAAATATTTGAAAACCGAAAATATCATATATCCCGTTAAAGATCACGTCTATTGGTCATCAACATTACCTTCGAATGTTATTGCTTTTACGCATCGATGTATATGTAATACTACAATTTACAAAATGGATGAACCAACTGGTGATTTTGAAAAAATTGATAAATTACATATTCTTCATTTTATAAGTTTTATTCAAGATCAGTACAGATTAATTAATGGAGAAAAACTTGGTAATCATAAATGTCTGTATTACGCTTATGATCTATGGTTGAATAATTTTAAAGAAATGAGAATATTATTGGAACAAAAATTTCAGCGACCATTAAATTTTTCTCATGGACAACCAATGTGAGCCGTTTTTTAATCTTTAACTCTGAGTGGAATGTCTTTTTACTACTTTTTGATTCTATATGGTGAAAACATTAAAACAACATTTGTGTGTGTGCCAATAAATATTATTTTACGATTCTTTATATTCAGATAGATCGTCTTCTGCATAACAGAAAATGTAAGACTATAATTGTATTAAGCGAGTCCCCACTCAGAAACTCGAATTTTCTGTAAAAATTGCGATATAAAGTTATGCATACGCTTAGTTAGTTCCTAGTGTCTACTTTTAGTATCCATCCTAAACAATCCTATATCTATGATTTCTGAGGAATTTTGAAAAAGATTTCTAAAAGCCCTAAAATACTAGGCTTCTGAAAACCTCCAAAGTTTTCCTTAAATTTCAATAATATTCTGATGTCAGACAAACATTTTTCTTCAAAATGAGACGTTGCTGTGTTCTCTGTGATACTCTAGCCAAAAGTTATACGAATTTTTCTACGAACAGCAAAAACCTCTGCTTTTCATTTTTACTTTCTTTCCTCGAAAGCGACTTTCTGATGTTCAGACAAAAACTTTTTGGAAAATTTGAATAAACCTCGACCTTTTTCGAACTATTTTTAATAAGATTTTGAGTTCATAATGTTCTATCATTTATCCTCATTTTTTGATCTTTCGTACCACTATCTCGTATCATATCGTCCGAACTTTTGTGTCCGAATGTTGTTTTCGTCCCGTGTTTTGTGCTTGAACTAATTTCACTGGCACAGTGTGAACCTGTCTTTTTCCTAAAATCAAAAGCGGCAGGTAAAAATAATTGGGCTAAAAAGAACAGGTAACTTTCAGCATTTAAAGTAGTGACCTTCAAACGTATTTGATCTCCTGGATAACAAGCGTAAGTAAGTAGCTGAACGACTGAGTTGAAATCCACGTTTATTTAATTCATTACAAAGATCATCTAATGTTTTAATACTACATAATGTTTCTGTTCGTCGACGATCATCGGCTGACGCATACGGTGTTGTTATTTCCAATATCGTTTGATGTAATGCCGTTTCATCAGCTTCTAACGATGGTCTATGTGATTCATCTCGACGAAATCGTTTCACAGTTTGAGCAACGTCTGGATGATCTTCCACAATTTTGTTTAAAGCAGATTCTAATGCAGAATGATTATTTCTTTGACGCTGTTGATCCTGTTTTAGTTGATGAATGTTTTTTCGAGTGTTTTTTGTCGTTTCTCCAGATCGTTAATAGTCTTACGACTTTCTTCAGGTAACAGAACTTCTGATCATAATGAATATAATTTATTTAACTTGTCCTTTACTTCATTTAATTCTTTTGTACGTTGTTGTTGAGCTGGCATTTTGAAGGAAGGTTTAGCACCGATTTTTGGACTGACTGCCGATGTGGATGACGAAGATGTTAAAGACGAAATGTCAGACGAAGATGAGGAAGTAACAACATCGGAAGATGGTTTCGGAGACGACGGAGAAATGGACGTTTGTTCAGCAGATGTATTGTTTCTTGGAGATGCTGGTGGTTTGATATTGTCTGCCCAAAAATTCAATAATCCGCCTTTACGTTTCATGTTCTTAGCTTTATATTCTCTAAGCTTTTCTTGAATTAGATTATGACAATATCACAAGTGGATGTTAATTCTCTATTGATAAAATAAATAAAGCTTATAAAATGTTTCCCTTAACTGCAGACATGTTGTCGTTTTTTATTCCCGCTCACGTCATTTTTAATTCTCACTTGACAGGTACGCAAACCAAGCGTGACGGACAAGGGAACATTCTCAAGTGAGACACTCCGATTTTGTTCAATCCTGGCAATTTATATGTAACCAAGGTCGCTGATTACGAATATGATAGCCGTTTGTGCTCATAGATCTTTCCTGGCGTTTCTCTGGAGAACCGGTTTTCTAAAAATCCTCTGAGACACTAGCAATGCTCTGTCAACATGTTGGAATTGTAGCCTGAAAATTTTGCATGAAAATGAGACGCTTCCCAGCTCTCCACGACCTTTTTTGGCAAAGTTACAGAATTTACAAGAGAAGCCCTAAGTATTGTCAGGGCAGAGATATAGAAAGAAAAAGGAAAATTAATTTAGGGCTTCTCTTGTAAATTCTGTAACTTTGCCAAAAAAGGTCGTGGAGAACTGGGAAGCGTCTCATTTTCATGCAAAATTTTCAGGCTACAATTCCAACATGTTGATAGAACATTGCTAGTGTCTCAGGGGATTTTTAGAAAACCGGTTCTCCAGAGAAACGCCAGGAAAGATCTATGAGCACAAACGGCTATCATATTCGCAATCAGCGACCTTGGTTACATATAAATTGCCAGGGTTAAAATCGGAGTGCCTCACTTGGGAATGTTCCCTCGTGAGCGTTTGAAAGCCTAGAAATTCCAAAAACAACATGCCGCCTCTGAAATTATCCATATATCAAATTTTGCTTCGCATGGCTGTCTGAGTCACGCATTCGTTGAGCTGTACTTTGCCTGATGACAGCTAACTGTCAGTAATAATAGTGTGACACCATTCAAATGGTCAGCGGGTCGCAGCGGCACGTCTGCTGATCGGAGTACCCGCCGAGTCCATCACGAACTCATATTGATTGAGATTCTAATAATCGAACTAATTTGAACTTCGTTTATTGTACTATTATATCTGAGGAGGTCCTGCCGTTGATGTGCATGACCACTAGATGGTTGTTCGCTCAAATTGTAGCAAAAGCTGGCTCTGATGAGACTCATAATATACGAATAGTTCCAGAGACGACTTGTCGTCTGCGAAGCTCTTGGCTTTTAAACTCTCAGTCATCTGTTTAGAGTGTCCATCAAGCGAGAATTAAAAATGACGTGGACTGTCAAATTTTTTAGATTGTTTTGACTGAAATGACTGACAAAGTCATGAAAAAAATTTTAGTCAAGCAAACAAAAAGTTTCATCATTTACCTAGAAATCTTTTTAACCTTCTACTTCTAACAGTATTTTCTCCCAACAGGGCTAATATCACTGAAAACTGAGATAGGCACTGGGGAAGGTTTCCTCGTTAGAAAGTCATTTTCTAAGAACAATGGCTAGTGGATAAATAGTGTTTATGGCTCTTGCTGCAAAAGCTGGGACTGCATCATTTGTATGTTGGATACATCTGTTATGCTTGTGAAAGTGACACGTTTTGTAGCAAGTCTTCGTTGCGTACTGCACTCTAAAAACATGCTAATGCATTTAAAAAATAAAAATAAATGTTAACGACAAAGCTCGCTTCTTGCACGTATTAATGTATCTGAGTTTATTTGTTTTCATTGAGTATCGATAGAAATGAAACAAAATTCATTTACGTTCGGCAAGCAAACGACGACATTTGATTATAATAATAAAGGAAAAAAACACATACGCACACGATCATCAGGTAAGTGTTGCTAAATGGATTTAAGGACAGTTCATTTCTCATTTAGAGTTTAGACTAAACGAGAAAGAAAATGCTGTTTCATTCAGATTTTCAAAATGGGTTCATGTACGGGCAAATCACAAGAAGAAGTACAACTCGAGACAAACAGACGAGTGTTAGGTTACACGCCTGAAACTACAGAACAGCATCTCCGAAGACAGCGACATGCACGTAAACATCAGCATCATGCACGTGGCGAAGGACATCATTCACATCATCATCATCATCAGGGCAGCTGAAAACATGATTATCATGCCGAACACAATTAGACATGTCACTGAATAACAACCATTTTATTCGCGCGTAATAATGTATCGTGCTCGCTTTGGCTGCTGATTAATTTTAAATATTCTATGGAAAGATGATTCTAACTAGTCAGACTTCTAATTCCACATTTCTTTTTTCACTATGTTTATTGTATTTGTTTTAAAATATATTCAAAAACCACGAACAATTCAAAGAAATCGCTGCTCGACTCCGCCAAACATAATATACTAGTTTTTGTTATTTTGTCATCTATAACTGTAATGTCACAGGAACAAAGCCAATTAAGGAGATCTTCCCAAGAAAAGCTTTTTATCTTACATCCGATTTTGATGAAATTCTCCACAATGTTGACCACATAAAAGTGTGATGACGAAATTTTTTTACCTTTCTATCTCTTACCATTCAGAAGTTTTGGGTGACAGCACTTTCGTCACGTTTATTCTCGTCACATAGAAAAAGAACTTTCGTTACACGTTACGGAAGTGTATGGCACTTTTGGGAGAGTACCACCCTACACTTTGGTCACAAGAGTGGTGAACTTGCGTAACAAACTGTGTAACATACCTACCACTATCGTCACACCCCATCGCGAACTTTCGCTACACTAATAACATAACGGCAAATAAATATAACGTGTGATGAAAGTTCATGTGCAGAACAACGCTTTATTTTACCGTTTTTCTCATGTTTGTATAGTGTTCTTATTGACTGTAAAAGAACCATTTGGATTTGGACTAGTCCAGACCGAATTACTGCCAAACGCAATAGGCGCTTAGCTTTGATACTTTGTTCTTAGAAAAAGACTTCAGAAGGGTTTTTTACGCGTTTCTCTAAGGAAATGCAATGTTTGTAAAGAAAAAGGCAAGAGCCCAGATCGACAAATCTTGTCAAATGATTTTACAAGATCTTACAAGATCATATCGCATGATTTCATAGATAGGACACAAACATCCTTAGGATCGTGTCTATAACCACGTTCCTTATAGCCATGCACTTTATTTTCGCTCAGCTGATGTGTGAAGCCAAAGAAAGAAAAAAATTCTACGCTTTGTCATAAAAACTATGTTATATATATATATATATACTCAATATCATAGCAAAATTTATGTGGTAAGAATGAGTCATTACTTCTTGCAAGATCATATAAGATCTTATAACAAGAAATCATATGATCTTGCGATAACAAATAAATATAAGTCACTCCTCTCAATGACAATATTTTACAAGATCTTGTAAGATCTTGTCACGTCTTATGAGCTGACCTTGTAAGATCTTATGACAAGAAGTTACAAGATTCCGTAGGCTCTTACAACATCCTAAGACAATATCTTGTAAGTTCATGCAGTAGGATCTTGTTACAAGATTTCATAAGAAAACGGCAGATCTTTTGTGATCTTCACTGTAAAAAATAAAGTGTACCCGCTAGTGTGCACTTCGAGTCCAAAGTGATGTGTAAATTGTCACTGTGTAATCTGAATTTTTATCTTGCCTTTCTCTACAGAAAAAAAACCCGAAGAATTATTCTTCTCTTCGGTCTTTTTTCTCGTTCTGTCTGTGGAAGCTTTATGTGCAATTCCTATGTGTTACAGGTACACTGAAGAAGCCGTTTTCAGTGTACAAAAACAGTCCACCGTGATATGCATATTCAGTATGTCCCGGGCATACTTAATTTTTTACAGTGTAGTAAGATGAATTTTATCTGGGAAGTTATTACTCCACTTTGCACTGCTACAGTTTGTATTACTGCCGTTTGGACTAATGAACTTTGTAGTACAACCTTAATTTCCTTTGCAGCCGTTTCATGTAACGTGTAACGATAGTGCTGATCTGTCTAAAAAACCAGACACTTTCGTCATAATCGAAAACGAACTTTCGTCACATAAGGGGTTAACTTACGTAACCACTATGCAAACATAGTTAAACTTTCGTCAAATGCCGAAAGAACTTTTGTCACTGAAAACAGAAAGACTTCGTCAACATGCTAATATAGACCTCATAAACACTTTTGTGGCTCTCTGTTGTGAAGCAAAACTTGCGACGTATAAAGTCAATTGACGACGAAATATGATAGTAATTTGTCCTATTATGTTCAACTAGAAAAAAAACGGAAGGAAAAAAAATTACTTTTATTGAATTTAGTTATATAAACTCCTTGCTTCTTAGTCTCTGTTGTATATGATTACTAAATTCTCTAATGCCTAAAAGACAGCATTATTCACGAAAATGTGCCAATAATTTGCACAATGAGTGGCACAGAGATGCGTTACATGTTTTAGTTTCAATAAACAACGATAAGTAAGTCTTAAAGTCAGTATTAATCAGAAACATGAAATTTTATAAGAAACAAGCTAGCTGCTCTAGAATAGGAAACAAAAAAAATCTAAGACTACTTTTAGTCTCCAAACACCTGTAAAACCGGTCACATTCTGTCAAATCCGATGTCTGGAACTCGAAGGATCCGGTCGGACCTTTACCAACATCTTCCGGCACGGAATTCGAGCGCCAGGATTCCAATTTAATACGGCATGGTTCCGGTAGGGTTGTGCCAGAATTTGTCGGATTTCGACATGTTTACATCTGTTCGTCCCTTTCAGAATTTTTTTTTTGGAATCATAAGCCTGGGTAGTAGAAATGTATGGATGCCTAGTTTTTACTAGAAAGACAGCAAAAAAAAGACCAAATTTTCCATTTTTTCTCCTCACTATGATGGAATCGTGAAGAACTCCATATCTTAGTGCTAACGGAAAATGTCAGAATGATTTTTTTGAGTTTTTTCTCCATTTCAAACTGGCAAAAAATTAATCATAAATTGGCATTTAACAGCCAGTTATGATCACCAAGTCATTCACTGTTTTATTCTGCCATCAT